CCACGAGGCACGAGGCGCGATCATGGCGGAAATATGCGGAAATTTATTTTTGAAGATGCACGCGACACGAGGCACGACGTATTCTGCCTGGATGGTCACACGATTCGCGATGTGTGATGACGGCGTGATTAAGGCGTGTACAACAATGTATTAGAACGGGGAAGATGGGATCACCGAAGCCCAAGGAATAAGAGGTCGGATCGGATTATGCGAGATCGAGGCAAGGGTTATGAGGGCATGGGGAAGCAAAAAGGGGGCGACACAAAAAGGCTTCCGATATAACAAAACTTATGTTTGTCAGGCTTCCGATATTACAAAACTTGTGTTTGTCAGGGCGGTATACTGAATGTTGGCCAAAATATCTCATGATGTTGGAACAAAAAAATATCACGCCAGCTCCAGCCTGGAAAGCTTACCTGGCTACTGACGCACTTCATTCGAACAGGGTAAAGCTGCAGATTGTACTGAATAGTCCACATTTTAGAAGTCCTGGGCAACTACCAGGTTAAATCCATGGTTCAGCCCCAGACAAGCCTGACAACGGGCGCGCTCAGCGCCTCGAACCTCCGGCTCCCTGACTTTTTCATCGGCACTCGTCGAAAGCAACGACAAGCAAGTGCACTTCGAGCAAAGCGCGTTCTTGCCTTGCAGCGGTAACTTGGAGTCACAACATGTGCATCAAGTTTCGTCCCTGCTTGACGCCCAGCCTTCCCGGCATCTACTGGCGCGACAACAACCAATGGCGGCAATACGACCGTGCGACGACCCGCGAGATTCTCAAGGCGGCCTCGAGGAACCTCAGCAACGTAGACCTGGGTACCTTCACGTCGAGTGTTTACCCTAACGGCGCGACTTACACGCTGGACTTGAAACGCCTGCGGCAGAGGAACACCCGAAGCGGGCAGGAGCGGCCGGTTCTGTTCATCCCAAAGCTGACTGTTACGGAGCTGTTCATGGCTCTCATCCCCGCTGGGAACTTTTCAAAAAGAGTGTGGGAGCGAATTATTGATGCGTTCACAACAGAGGCGTACGTGGAGTATGTCGTGAAGCAGCGAGCGTCGAAGTGCAACTCCGTCGTGCTGCATATTCGCCGTAACCCCTACCTAACGCCCCGGTCGCCATTATTCACGCAATTCGTCACCGCTGCGCAGAATCTGCCAGTTGATGCTGCTCTCGGTAAGCTCATCCATTTCTCGTTTTGCATCATACCGTCAGCGATGTTACAACAAGCCCGTATTTCCTTTTCTGTGTCTTTCCTCCATATACCCCCTCTGCTGTCGTATGAAACCTTTCAGCCGACGGTTTAACGTACATGGATACCAAGGGAAATGGGAATCTGGACCTCGCGTTTCATGGCACTCGGTCTAGCAGCCTCGAGCCTATTCTTCAAAACGGAATGTGCCCTACTCACCGCAAAAGCAGTCCACGGGGAGACTGGTTCACGCGGCAAGTGGCATCTGCCGCATGGTTTTCAATGTCGAGGGAAGGTCACTGTATTGGTGGGAAAAGGGTAATTGCGTTTTTGCTGGTCGTGGTGGAGGCGGCGATAGTGAAGCAGAGCGGCGATGTGATTGTTTTGAATGATGCGAGGTACGAGCTTCCTGTCGCGGAAGTGACAGTGCAGTAAAATGGCGCGAAAGGGACAGTCCGGTAATGGCGCGAAACGAAAGTGTCAGTTGGCGCAGAAGTGACAGGGTAGTAAGGAGGATGCGCAGAAGTGACGGTCCAAGCCGAATTGTACATTTTGTATATACAGATTGGATAGCGTCTGATGCTTGTACACTTATGCAAGCAAATGTTTGTTGTGGAAATAGTTTGCATTAGGGTTCGTGTATCCTGGATGTTACATGAAGAGAAATGTCGTAGGTATTTTTACTCAAAGCATCCTCGATATAGAACTTTATATTAAAATCCACTTTCCAGCATAAAATGTCAGAAACAACGGATACAGGGAACCTGTATTACCACACTACCAAAAAAAAACCAAGGGTCTGAAAATATGTAAGCAAGGTGAAAACATGCAATACAAATCTAAACAATGTGCAGATTACACATTGGGAGAACAAGCAATACGTCTGATTTTCGTATGTACAAGGTTCTAGCCATTCTCTATGTACACGATTGGTCTCAGCGCCAGCGCAAAACATTCCTCGAAGCGCACTAGAAAAGATGTGCACCCTTACTGCACAGTCACTTCCGCGACAGGAAGCTGGTGGCTTGTGTCACTCATTACAATCACATCACCGCTCTCCTGCACCACTGCCTTCTTTTCCACAAGGAGCAAAAAAGCGATTAATTTTCTCCCACCATACCCGCGGGTTCCATCCCTCGACTGGGAGTAATGTGCAGCATAGGACACTTGCCGCGTGAACCAGTCTCCCAGTGGAGTGCTTTTGCGGTGAGTAGGGCTCATCCCGTTTCGCAGAATCGGGTCAAAGCAGCTAGAGCTAGTCCCGTGAAACGCGAGGTCGAGATTTCCTGCTTCCGCTGTGTCCATGTACGTCAGACCCTTGACTGAAGAGTTTCATGCGACAAAGCCAGGCAAGTTAGGAAAAGAGGAGAAAAACCCTTGAAACTAGAAGGGGAATCATTAGGTCAGGGGGAAGTTGAGCCCGTCGAAACATCTTTACGATAAAAACGAAGCCCGTCAGAGTGCAGCACTGCAAAAAAATCTCGGGAAAAAAGGAGGGCATACCGAGAGCAGCATCAGCTGGCAGATTCTGTGCAGTGGCAAGAAATCGCGTGAATAACGGCGAACCCGGAGTGAGGTACGGGTTGCGGCGAACATGCAGCACGACGGAGTTGCACTTCGTCGCTCGCTGCTTCACAACATGCTCCACGTATGCCTCTGTCGTGAACGCATTGATGATCTGGTTCCACACCTGCCATTGAACCATTCCGAGTTTTGATCAGATTTAAATGCGTTCCCCCGTCTAGAAAAAACAACATGGACAAACGGAAAGTGGAGAATTAACGAGTAATCATTGCGTAGCTCACCACAGAAGGCGTTACCACTGCCGTGCTCAGCTCAGTAAGCGTCAGCTTAGGGATGATCAGAACCGGCCGCTCCTGTCCGCTTCTCGTGTTCCTCTGCTGAAGGCTCTGCAGGTCCAGAGTGTAAGTCGCGCCGCTGGGGTAGACATTCGACGTGAAAATCCCCAGGCTCACGTTTCTAAGGCCCAGCGAGGCCGCCTTGAGAATTGCGCGCGAAGTGGCGCGGTCGTACGGCCGCCATTGGTCGTCGTCGCGCCAATAGATGCCGGGAAGGTCGGGCTCCGAACAGGGACGAAACGTGATGCACATGGTGTCGGTTCCAAGTTACCGATGCAAAGCAAGAGCGCTTTCTCACACTGCTGCTCACAGTGCTCGTGCTTGTAGCTTCTTTCGACGAGAGCCGAGGGAGAAGACAAGGAGCCCGAGGTTCGAGGCGCTGCGTGACTTCGATTTGGAGGCGCGAAATTTATGCCCGTTAGGATGGTAGTTTGGGCCTAGTTGGAGAATTTTTAAGCTGGTATTTACCTAGCGGGCTGAGCTGGGACTAGTAAGTTTGTGTTCCAGAAGATTTTGCCCCGTGTAACACGTTTATAAGTATGCTGGCTGGGCAAGCTCGTCTCTCCCGAGATCTACTTCAATCATAATTTTTTATCAGCATAAGCAATTTTTCTCAATAAAATTCAGCACCAGATGGCATAGAAAAACCCAGGGAAACCACGAACAATGGACCTCCCACTTTCTCATCTTCCCTTCAACACCTCATCAAATCCTTCTTCTGAATTTCGCATCCCATTTTCGATTCCAGGTGTTTCCTTGGCTACCTCGGATTTATCTTCTTGCTTCCCAGCTATTACATCGAAACCCGAACTCTCTTATCGGCGCTTCTAGGCTCGCTTGAAGCCGCCGCCAGCACCAGAAGCAGTGAGAATCTTAACCACTAATCAGCTTTGAGGGTGGCGGAACCACTATTCCAGCATTTTTGTTTTTCTTCTACCCGTGTTGATCCACGGGTATCCACGCCTTATTCTCGTCGTCGCAAGGCCATGTACTTGCCATCATCCATCGCGAGTCGCGAGACATGGCCATCAACGCAGCATGCGTTGTGCCTCGAGTCGCCCGCATCGCAATACCCATTACCTCGTTGCATACCATGCCCCAAGTTCCAGCTTAACACCATGCGTCGTGCCTCGTGCCTCGTACACGACAATCCGCCATCTTAACGTATGCATCATGCCTCGTCCTATTCGATCCGACAGCTAGCTTCCCCCTCCGCACCGCCATACGACCAGCCGCCATGGCCCTTCTAGCGCATCCGTCTAGGGGAAACTAGCCCTTCCATCATCCCTCCTATTCGCATCCATCATCCCGCACACGACCCACGCCCTAACCCACGCTCTGCTATGGCGAGACTCTCCGCAGCCCCGCCATAACAGAGACCCAAACCGTGAAACGATGCAGATCATGCAAGTTTCCGCCGGGATACATACTAGAGGCCCGAACCGAACCGCGGATGCAGTGCATATGCATGGGATGGGACCCGATATCCTCGGAAATGGTTCACAAACAATTCACTCTCCCTCGAATTTCGAAACGCTCCCATCCTGCATCACCGGCTGGCAATTGCCGAGGCGAGACCCTCGGGGAAACCTCGAGGGGCATGGCCGGGTTCTCTCCCTCGGAAGCGGCTATTGAACCGAGTGGTCCCTCCCACTCGGCGTGGAAAGGTCAAATCACACCCGCGCGCGCACGCGAGTCACAGCGCATGCACGCAACTCCCTCAAAATCACGGCGATTTGAGTCACGGCTTTGTGTCACACCTCGACCACGCCTTGTTGCCTTGTACAGTCTGACTCTACATTCGCCTCGGCAAGCCGATGCGACACGGCGCTGCACCTCGCCTCGGTGCCGCAAGTTAACCTCAACCTTACCGAACCAGTAATATTAAAGCGTGGAGGGTGAAAAAATATTGTGCTCCTGCGACAGGTATTCTCTGAGTAGCGTTCGGCATGGATTCTGATCAGCCTGATCCGTCTCATTCAGCAAAAAGGCTTCCTCGCGGCGAGGCTGCTTCTCCCGTTGCTCACGGCAGGCCTGCTGCTTTTCCCGATGCTCACGGCAAGGCTGCTGCTGCTCTGGGCGAGTTCGAAGATGGTTCTGAAGACGATCTTTGCGAGTTCTTTGACTGCCAGACGTCACCTAGCAGCAGGAGCAGTTCTGACGACAAGACCACCGATCCTCCTATCCCTCCCTCGTTTCCTCCTCTTTCGCCGCCTTACCTCCCTGCTACTCCATACCCCTACTCCCTTCCACCTCTCCCTCCTGCCCCTCCTCCTGCCTTTCCTCCTCCCATTCCTCCTCCTCCCTCTCGTCCTGAACTCTCTTCTAGAGCAGGGTCTGCACAAGCTGCATACGCCAACCTCGCCTCTCTGCGCCAAGAGGTTGCAACAGCTGCTGCAGAGGCAGCAGAAGCAGCAGAAACCGCGTCGGAACTGCAGCGTTTGGCAGCATCTGCGGCTGGCAGGGCGGCAGCCGCCAAGGCGGAGGCAACAGCCGCTGCTGCAGAGGCTGTTTTTGCTGCGGAAGCTGCTGGGAAAGCGGTGGTTGAGGCGAGAGTTGCTGCAGGGAAGGCAGAGAGATCAAAGGCTGGATTTGCTGCGACTTTTGCTGAGATTTTTGGCAAAGGGGACGAAGTAGAGGGTTCCTGGGAGACTGAAGAACGCACAGAAATTACAGAGAGTGAAGAAGAGAGTCAGACTGAAGGGCGCGAAGTGCGCCCCCACAACGAAGAAGGGTCACAGGCCATAGGAGAGCGTACAGGGATTGCAGGCAGAAGGGAGGTTGAAGAACGGCTGGAGACTGAAGAAGACAATAAGACTGAAGGGCGACCTCTGGATTCTACTGTTTCTGGGGGGGGTGTTGTCAGAGGGGGAGGGGTGGAGGAGATGAAACGAAAGAGAGAGGGCAAGGAAGCGAGGGAATTTTCCGCTATGGGTGGCAAAGGAGAGTGGAGTGAGGAGGGAGAGATGGAGGGGAGGGAGGGGAAAGGCTCAGAAAGGAAGCGGCAGGGACGGCGTTGGGACGTTGGGGCACCAGCAGCAGCGGTGCCAGCAGCAGCAAGCGTTGGAGCAGCATCAGCAGGAACAAGAGCAGCAGGAGCAACAGCAGCAGCATCAGCAGCGTGGCGCCTGCCGAATAGACCAAGCACAAGCTTGAACGGGCCTATTAGGGGCACAAGGCCGGTTAGGAGCACAAAGCCAAAGTGGAGCACTGCAGGGGTGGGCAGAGACATCGGGGTGCATGCTCTTGCTGCTAGCGCTCCTTACTACCACAACCACCACCACTACCGTGCCCCTTCCCATCTTCTCTCAACTCATCTTCTGCATCCGCGTGAGGCATCTGACGTGGCACCTGAGGAACCACCTGAGGGACCACCTGAAGAATCATCTGAAGAAGCACCTGAGGAAATATCCGTGGAGATGGCCCAGGATCAGGAGTCCCAGCCATTGCTTCTTTCTCGTGAGCGTCAGATTGCGGAGGGAGCGATGGGTGTGGAAGGAGGAGAGGGGGTTGACGTTGATGTGCAAGGGGAGCGTGAGGAAAGTGCAAGGGGCAGGTTCTGGGCTTGTTGGTGGGCTCTGCAAAGCTTCTATGGGGTTGTGGTTGGAGCTGCTGGAAAGGCTCTGGGTTTCGTGTGTCTCGTGCCTCGAGGTGAGCGGGGAGAGGGAGGGAGCGGCAGGGGTGATACGGAGATGGAGGATGTGACAACCGCGCATAGAGGAGAGGGAGCAGAGAAGAGGGGGGAGAGGGGGAGGAGTGCAGGGAAGGGAGTGGGCACGGGAGCGGGAGTGGAAGATGGTGAGGTGGACTGGGAGCGAGAGCAGCAGGAGCGGCAGGCTCTCGTGCAACAGGAGCAGTGGCAGCAGCAGCAGCAGCGGCAGCAAGAGCTGTATTTCCAGCAACAGTGGCAGGAGTATCAACGGTACCAAGAGTATCAGAAGCAGCTGCAGCAGCAGCAGCAGCAGCAGCAGCAGCAGCAGCAGCAGCAGCAGCAGCAGCAGCAGCAGCAGCAGCAGCAGCAGCAGCAGCAGCAGCAGCAGCAGCAGCAGCAACAGCACCAGCAGCACCATCAGGAGCAGCACGATGAGCAGCAGCGCCAGCATGGGAGGCACGGGGACGAGGCAGAGAGAGAGCATGATCGCATCATTATGTCGTCAGCACCTCTCCCACCTCCACCACCACTCTCTCTTGCCTATCCCTCCCTCAGTGCTGAACTCCTTTTTGAGGGGCCTCAAGAATCGCAGCAGAGGCAGCATGGGAGGCACAGAACCGAGGCAGAGAGAGAGCATGATTCAATCATCATCATGTCGTCAGCAGCAACCCTCCCATCGCTGCCACCTCTCCCTCATGCCTATGCCTCCCCCAGTGCTGAGCTCTTCCGCTCAGACCTCCTACCCCGATACACCATGCACCCATCGCAGGCAAATCTCTTCTCTGACTCTGCTGCGTTTGCAGCCCTACCTCCTCCCGCTCTCGCCAATTCGCCTGGCACTCACTCACACATGACTCGTGCGGCTGGTTGCCGAGTGCTGGTGGTGCATCGGGGGGATATCACCAAGTGGTTTGTGGACGGTGCGACCGATGCCATTGTGAGTGGTAAAGAGGGTGACTGTAAGGAGGATGAGTGTAATGGGGCGTGGTGTTGTAGACAGGTATGGTTCTTGCAACTATGGATTGTACGGTGCATTTATTGCCATTGTGGGTGGCTGTAAAGGGCGTGAGTGTAGTGAGGGTGACTCTTCAAGGTGGGTGACTGTAAGGAGGATGGCTGCAATGAGGGTGTTTGTAAAGAGACACGATATGAGAGCAAGGTGTAGAGTGGCACCACATCTTTTGAGGCGCCTCAAAAGTAGAGTGGCACCATATCTTTCAGCTGTCACGTTTCGCGCAACCTCGATCCTACCCTTTCGGGCCTTGCCCACCTTACACCATTTTGAGTCTCAACTTCCCTTGTTCCTTTCGTGTGGATGGCATGGCATGGCAGGTCAATGCTGCAAACGAGAGGGTTCTTGGCGGTGCGGGAGTGGATGGAGGTGAGAAGATATGAGATGAGATGAGATGAGCTTAGGGAAAGGGAAAAAGGGAAAGGGAGAGGGGGGGCCAGAAAATTATGAGAGAGGCAGAAGGTAACGGGAGGAGGGGAGAAGGGTAAGGTGTTCGCTACTGCCTCTCCACTTATCCTCTCAACCCCTCTCTTTCCCCCCCTGACCTCCTTTTTCGCTTCCTCCTCTCATCCACCCGCCACTTAATCTCTTCTCTCACCCCTCTTCCCCCCTCCTCCGCCCTCCAGCCATCCACAGGGCAGCAGGCCCGGCCCTCCTGAAGCTCTGCTACGATCTGCCAACTCTGAGGAATGGTGATCGCTGCAGGACAGGGGATGCTGTGACCACAGGGTGAGTGACTGTAACGAGTAAGAGAGGGGCCGGCAGGCATTAGGGTACATGGCTGTAGGCTCAGGTTTTCTTGAAGCTGTGCCACGACCCAGCCATATTTTGAGGCGCCTCAAAAGACGACCCAGCCATATGAGGAATGGGGATCGCAGTGAAGCAGGAGGGGTAGTGACCACAGGGTGAGTGCATCATACTTCCATAGAGCAGCTGTCAGTTCCCATGTCTTAAAGTGCTTCCATGTCTTGGAGGGTACTTCGGGCAATTCGGGCACTTATGTGTGCAACTTCGGGCCCATGGCATCTGAAGCTGGAGAATGGGCTCGGGGCACATGCTGAGGTGGTCAATCTCTCCCTCCATGAGGGCTTGTGCTCTGAACTCACGTGAAAGAAGGAGTGTTTTCATGTGAGACGTCTCAAAACACTCCTTCTTTCACGTGGCTCCATGAGGGCTTGTGGTCTGAACTCTGACATGGAAGCGTGGAATAATGATTACTCACCCTGTTATCGGCAGCGCGGACAGCCTGCCAGTGCGCTGGGTGATCCATGCTGTGGGACTGAGGCACCTCTATTGCTGCAACCTCGCTCTCTCATGCTCTCTTCTCTCATGCTCTCCTCTCGTCTCTTGCACCCACGGCATGTTTGCTTCACTCTGCAGGGCGGCAGGCCTGCCTGTGCGCTGGGTGATCCATGCTGTGGGGCCGAGGTATCGGTCCGATCAAGTATCAGCACCCGTGCTGAAATCTGCATACAGGTGTGTGCCATGCTGTGCTGTGCCGGATCGTGCTGCAGGGAGCGGTGCCTCTCTGCACAGCGAGGAAGCTGTTCTTTGCTATGCTTCGCTGTGTTGTGTTGAGCGTTCTGTCTGCTTGGCAGTGAGGCTCGGCACATTGTTGTTTCTGCGTTCCCTCGCTCCCTCACTCTCACGCACCCACTCAGTTATGCAACCAGCAACTTACCTATACTAACACCATCCTCTCATCTGTCTGCCCAATTGAAACTGCCTCACAGGAGCATTCTAAGAGAGGCCAACAAGTGCTGTGCCAAATATATTGCGATTCCTGCAATATCATGCGGCATTTTCGGGTACACTCCATCTCCTCAAACATTCTCAAGCTTCAATTCGTGATTGCGTCTCCGCTGTCGCACTGCTGTGCGATGATTTCATTTCCTGACTTTTGAGACAGTCTCAAAAACTCGAGCTTCAATCTCTGATTGCGCCTCTGCTGTCCTGTTGCTATGTGGAGTTTTTTGAGTCTGATTCAAGAATACTCTCTGCTGTTTTGTTTACTATCTCCCTACTGTCAGTTACCCCCCCGTGAAGGGCGCCCAAGATGCCCTGGAAGTCTTGCTAACCCAACCCTGGGGGTCGGTGCAAGAGGTATGTTACGTACTCACATGAGGTATGCTGTGTAGGTACCAATTGTCACATGTGGTGGGGTCTCACACGAGGTACGTACTCAAGAGAGGTACGCACTCACATGTGTCGTCTTGCTATGCTAATCCAACCCTGGGGATCAGTGCAAGCCCAACCTGTGGATCATGTTCTCCTCCTTGCAAGACGTCCGTGCTTGCGTTTGCCCGTTGTGAGTCGTAGAAAACTCCATCGGAGGTCCATTGTAGTGCTTTGTGTAGCTGCAACTTTTGAGGCGCCCCAAAAGCAAACTCCAACGGGGGTACTTTGCAGTGCTTTGTGTAGCTGCAACAACCTGAACATATTCTCTGCACGCCCATGCTATGCTATGCTCCTCCCACAGGTGCATTTCGTCCTGTTTGACGGTAAGATGCTCAACGACTGGCTGACTGCCATTCATGCTGCCAACCTGCCACAGCTGCTGCTTCAACGACAACCACCACAACAGCTACAGCCACCTATGCCGCCGCCGCAGCAACTTTCCCCGCAGCAGTGGCCATTTGAGTCGACACAGCAGCTCTCAAAGCAGGGAGCGAGAGAGAGAACTGGGAAGAAACAGCTGGAGGCAGAGGTAGGAGGAGCAGCCAGGTCAGCATGGAAGCAAGGGAACGAGGAGCTGTTGCCTCAGCAACAGGGGCTTGAGTCGACATGGCAGCAATTGAAGCAGGGAGGTCAAGAGGTAACTGGGAAGAAATCGACACAGCAGGTGGTATGGAAGAAAGGGAATGAGGAGCTGCTGTCTCAGCAGCCAACAAAGCAAGGGGGGATGCAGCCGATTGGGAAGGCGACAAAGCAGCAGGGGGGAGAGAAGCCGCAAGAGCCACCACCGGTAACTTTTGAGGCGCCCCAAAAGTCGAAGCTGGGGGGAGAAAAGCCAATTGGGAAGGCGACAAAGCAGCAGAGGGAAGAGAAGCCGCAAGAGCCACCACAAGTGCTGCCTCAGCAAATACGGCAGCAGCAGAAACTGCCGCCACAGCAGCAACCGCCAAAGCAGGTGGTTAAAGGGGAGGTGGAAGAGGGGACTGGGAAGAAGGCGATTCAGCAGGTGGGAGGCGCAGGAGGAGATGCAGCAAGACCAGCATGGCAGGAAAAGAGTGAGCAAGTGCTGCAACTGCTGCAACAGCAGGGAGTGCAACAGCTACCGCAGCACCCAGATCAGCATGCACAGCAGGGACCACAACATAAGCAGCAGCACAAGCAGCCTGAGGCGCAGCCTCAGAAGCAGACGCAGCAGCAACAGGAGATGCCTGAGAAACCCCTGCCGCTGGTCCCACAGAAGACACAGCAGCAAGCATGGAAGCTCCCACAGCCTGCACAGCAGCATGCAGAGAAAGGGTCATCACCAGCAGCAACAAGGCCTCAGCAGCAGCAAGAAAAGCAACCTGAGAAGTTACATACGCAAGTTTCACAGCCTACACAGCAGCAAGCAAAGCTGCTTGCAGATAAAGGGCCATTGCCAGAAGCAGAACTAAAGCCGCAGCAGCAGCAGCAGCAAAAGCAGTCCCCGAAGCAACCTCAGAAGCAGCCTCAGAAGCAGCAACAGGAGAAGCAGCTTCAGAAGCCATTGCAGCAGCAACAGGAGCAGGCACAGCAGCAGACTAAGAAGCAGAAGGCGGATACGAGCCAGAAGCAGCCTGCCTTTGCGCCTGCCTCCACCTCTGCCCCTTCCCCTGCCCCTGCTGCTGCCGCTTCAACTTTCTCTGCCTCTGCTCCTGCTCCTGCCCCTACCCATTCCACTGGTTTACTGCTGAGCGATGGGGATGAGCAGGTGCAGGGAAGGGGAGCTATTGGGAGGACGGGTGGGGGGATGGAAGGCGAGAAAGGAAAGGGGAAGGAAGTTGCTGGTGACCGAGGGGAGAAGGGTGATATTAGCAAGGAGGGTGGTAACCACATGGGAGAAGGCACTGTTGATAGGGACAGCGATGGGGATGTGGTAATGAGAGACAGTAACTCAGTCGAGGTAGCAAACTTGTTGCATCTGGAGGAGCGGGAGGACGAGGAAATATGGGAACCAGTGGAGAGGATAGTATGGGGTATAGAGGAGGGGGAGGCACGGGGAAGACAGGACAAGACGATGGAGAAGGTGGTTGGAGAGAGTGGAAGGTCCTTCGATAGTTGGGCTGCTGCCCTAGATGCTTCTCCGTATTCCCCTCCAGCTGCCGCTGTGACTACAGCTCCTGCTGAAGCTTTGGCTTTACCTCTGGCTGTACCTCCTGCTGTAGCGCCGGTTGTAGCACTGGCCGCTCCTCCAGCTGCCTCTGTGATCAAAGCTCCTTGTGCATCTCCGACTGTGCCTCCTGCTGTAGCGCCGGTTGTACCTCCTGCTGTAGCGCCGGTTGTACCTCCTGCTGTAGCGCGTGTTGTACCTCCTGCTGTAGCGCCGGTTGTACCTCCTGCTGTAGCGCCGGCTGCTGCTCCGGATGCCTCTGCAACTCCACTTGTACCTCCTGCTGCAGCGCCGGCCGCTGCACCGGCTGCCCCTCCAGCTGCCTCTGTGACCAACGCTCCTTGTGCATCTCCGACTGTGCCTCCGGCTGCAGTGACGGCTGCTACTCAGACTGTCACGGCTTCATCTCCAGGTGCTACGGCTACAGCTCCAGCTGCTGCTTTGTTTGCTGCTCTTGCTTCCACTCTTGCTGCAGCTCAAGCTGCCTCTCCTGCTGTAGCTAAATATGCTCTTCCGGCTGCTACAGCTACAGCTCCAGCTCCACGTGCTGATTTGACTGCCACTCCAGCTTCCAGTCTTGCTGCTGCTCAAGCTGCCTCTCCTGCTGTACCTCAGTCTGCTGCTCCGGTTGCTACAACTTCCGCTCCTCCTGCTGCTTTGGCTGCCCCCCCAGCTTCCGCCTGTGCTATTTCTCAAGCTGCCTCTCCTGCTGTAGCTCCAAATGCTGCTCCGGCTGATATAGCTACAGCGTCACCTGCTGCTCAAGCTTCTTCTCCTGCTGCACCTCCCTCGGTTAATGTAGGCAACAACGGTTGGAGTGGAAACATTGTTGCTGGCTGGGATAGCAGCCGTACTCCTGGTATGGGTTGGGGTAGAGGGCACAGAGAGCACAACCTTGGTTGGAGAAAGAGTAATCTGGCTGGTAGCGTCTTTAGCAGCAGTGGCTTTGGTAGTGCTGATGGCTGCTTTGGTTATTGGAAAAGAAAAGCTGCTGGTGGTGATGCAGCAACGGGTGGTGGTGACGCAGCAATGGTTGGTGGTGACGCAGCAATGGCTGGCAGTGATGCAGCAACGGGTGGCGATGTATTAGTGCAAGGAGTGAAAGATGCAGCAGCAGAGGCACCAGCGGCTATGCCACCACCAGCATCAGCAAAAGCAGAATCATACAGGGAAGTAGCAGGAACAGAAGCACCACCAGCACCACTAGCACCAGCACCAGCACCAACAGCACCAGCATTCCTGCTACCCGTTCCCGTATCAGAACCAGAAGGGGCAAAAGTAGCCAATGCTTCTGATGATGCTGCTGCTTTTGCTGTTCCGTCTGCCACTGCATCTGTCGATACTGCTCCTACTGTTGCTGTTCCTGGTTCCGCACCTGCCACTCCTGCTGCTGGCCAATCTTCTTCTCCTGCTGGGAAAATATCCTCGGCTCCAGCAGCTGCAAATTCTTCTGCTTCTGCACTGGAGCTGACTCTGGTTGCTGCATCAGTCCCACTCTCTGCCCCTTATCCTGATTCAGAGAATTTGGATTTGGGAGATGCCCCTTCTCCTGATTCAGAGAATCTGGACTTCAGAGATGCTGCTTCTCCTGATTCAGAGAATCTGGACTTGGGAGATGCTGCTTCTCCTGATTCAGAGAATCTGGATTTGGGAGATGCTGCTTCTCCTGATTCACAGAATCTGGACATCGGAATTGCCAGTGGGGATACTGGAAATGGAGGGAGCTGGGAAATGCACACATGTGAGGGAGAGGGAAGGGGCCAGTTGGAGGAGCAGCAGCAAGGGGTGGAGAAGAGGGGAAGGGAGGGGGAATTGGAGGAAGGAGAAGTTGGAGAAGAGGTGGGGGAGGGATGGGATGAGCAGGGAGAGGAGAGGTATGAGGAGGGAAAGATATCTTCTCCAATAGAAAAACCGTCGAAATATCAGCAGAAAAAACAGAAGGAAAACAGGAAGAAGAATAAGAAGTAGAGAGGGTATTGAGGCCTGTAAGTGCTGCCTTTGTGGAGTCCCTACCTTTGTAAATAAGTTGTAAATACTTAGTGTAACTTTACCCTGGTTTTTTGCTGCTGTTCATGTCATGTGTCCTCTCATCCCGTTGCAAAGGTAGTCAACGGCTGTTTGCAAAAACAATCCCTGGGAAATGAAACTATTTTTGCTGGATCTTGGGACTGCCACTTCCTCCTCTGCAATGTGACTTGTTTTACAATGTAGCCAACCAATGTAACGATTTGCTAGCGCTGGCATTCCCAGAACGAGTACAAATTAGGGAAACTAGGAAAATAAATCCCACTTTCTATGTGGCCCAATCCACTGACCGTCCTTCTTTGTCCACTGCTGTAAAGCATCCACGCCTTTAACGCGCCGCAAGGCTGGATTCACGCTTTACTAGTCACTAGTATTCGCGCCTAGTAGTAATGTCCGCCGTCACCCATCGCGAGTCGTGAAACAGGGCCGTCGAGGCAGCATGCATCGTTCCTCGGGTCGCTTGCATCCCCCATACCGCATTTGCGGAGCTCGAGGCTCCAGATCAATGGCTGGAGACGTTATGGACATTTGTGTCGTCACTCCGCGTCTTAACGCCATGCGTCGTGCCTCGTGCCTCGTATACTACCACAGTCCCCGTCGTCGTAACGTAAGGCGTCGAATATACGGGTGCCTTGCTTTCGCGGTTCGGGCATATGCACGGCACAAAAAAATATTTTCGGGGTGGGACCTCGGAATTTAGGCATGCGTCTAACCGCGGAAGGATATGCAACGCCGCGCACTGCATGGCTGCGCGCTTCGAACCACACTGGACTGGATGGCCACGCCGCGGTCCGCAGCAGTCCCGCGAGTCGAACTCCAACCCGAACGAGATAGTCCGACGTATTTAAGCGGTTGAGAAGCTACTTTGCTCTGACGACCTAAGTGTCAGAGCAGCGGCTTATCCTAAGCTACGACCGGATCTCCCGCTCGGCCTCAACCCCTAAGTGTCCCGCTCGCTAAGTGTCTGACCGACGCCATGGCTTCCAATCAACCTGATTCATCTCCTCCAGCTGTCTCAGCTGCTGCTCCTTCACCTGCTGCCTCTGCTGCCGCAACTGCTGCTGTTAGTGCGGTCCGGGCTCCTATCCCCAACCTGCCGCTCCCTTCATACACCGTCCACCAGTCTCAGAGGAAACTCTTTTCTGACACTGCTGCGTTTGCAATCCCACCTCCTCCTCCCCTCGGTGCTGCTCGTGCGTCTGATTGCCGCCGAGTGCTGGTGGTGCATCGGGGGGATATCACCAAGTGGTGTGTGGACGGTGCGACTGATGCCATTGTGAGTGACTGTTAAGAGGTGTGACTGTAAGGGGTGGGACAAGGGTGAAGCTGACTTCAAGGCGTGTGATGTAGGGGGGTGACTGTTTGAGGAGAGAGACCGTATTTTTGCAATCTTCTCATATTCACCGAATTTGTGACAAAGCCTTTTCAACCTAATGCCTTTGAAGTTGACTAATAGTACGTTCCACCGCCTCCCCTCTCACTTCCCCTCATCCTTTCTCGTGTGGCTCTCACCTTCCCTCATCCTTTCTCGTGTGGCTCTCACCTTCCCTCATCCTTTCTCGTGTGGCTCTCACCTTCCCTCATCCTTTCTCGTGTGGCTCTCACCTTCCCTCATCCTTTCTCGTGTGGCTCTCACCTTCCCTCATCCTTTCTCGTGTGGCTCTCACCTTCCCTCATCCTTTCTCGTGTGGCTCTCACCTTCCCTCATCCTTTCTCGTGTGGCTCTCACCTTCCCTCATCCTTTCTCGTGTGGCTCTCACCTTCCCTCATCCTTTCTCGTGTGGCTCTCACCTTCCCTCATCCTTTCTCGTGTGGCTCTCACCTTCCCTCATCCTTTCTCGTGTGGCTCTCACCTTCCCTCATCCTTTCTCGTGTGGCTCTCACCTTCCCTCATCCTTTCTCGTGTGGCTCTCACCTTCCCTCATCCTTTCTCGTGTGGCTCTCACCTTCCCTCATCCTTTCTCGTGTGGCTCTCACCTTCCCTCATCCTTTCTCGTGTGGCTCTCACCTTCCCTCATCCTTTCTCGTGTGGCTCTCACCTTCCCTCATCCTTTCTCGTGTGGCTCTCACCTTCCCTCATCCTTTCTCGTGTGGCTCTCACCTTCCCTCATCCTTTCTCGTGTGGCTCTCACATTCCCTCATCCTTTCTCGTGTGGCTCTCACCTTCCCTCATCCTTTCTCGTGTGGCTCTCACCTTCCCTCATCCTTTCTCGTGTGGCTCTCACCTTCCCTCATCCTTTCTCGTGTGGCTCTCACCTTCCCTCATCCTTTCTCGTGTGGCTCTCACCTTCCCTCATCCTTTCTCGTGTGGCTCTCACCTTCCCTCATCCTTTCTCGTGTGGCTCTCACCTTCCCTCATCCTTTCTCGTGTGGCTCTCACCTTCCCTCATCCTTTCTCGTGTGGCTCTCTCCTTCCCTCATCCTTTCTCGTGTGGCTCTCACCTTCCCTCATCCTTTCTCGTGTGGCTCTCACCTTCCCTCATCCTTTCTCGTGTGGCTCTCACCTTCCCTCATCCTTTCTCGTGTGGCTCTCACCTTCCCTCATCCTTTCTCGTGTGGCTCTCACCTTCCCTCATCCTTTCTCGTGTGGCTCTCACCTTCCCTCATCCTTTCTCGTGTGGCTCTCACCTTCCCTCATCCTTTCTCGTGTGGCTCTCACATTCCCTCATCCTTTCTCGTGTGGCTCTCACCTTCCCTCATCCTTTCTCGTGTGGCTCTCACCTTCCCTCATCCTTTCTCGTGTGGCTCTCACCTTCCCTCATCCTTTCTCGTGTGGCTCTCACCTTCCCTCATCCTTTCTCGTGTGGCACACAGGCTAATGCCACAAACGAGAAGGCTCCAGGCTGGGCTGGCTTGGATGCAGGTGAGATGAGATGAGAGACGTGGGGAGAAGGGGGGAAGAGGAGTTGGAAGAAGGGTAATAGAGGAGGAGAGAATGGTGGGCGGGGGAAGAGAGAATTTGGTGAGATGAGATGAGAGACATGTTTTCTTTATCACTCTTACTTCTCCCCCCCCTCTCGAATGACCATTTCATTGATATAGAACGTGTTGTACAGTCAAGAGCAAGTAGAGCCAACATGGCAAGCCATCAGACTAACTATCCCCTTCCCTATCGAGCCCTCCAGGGTAGCAAAGCATTCCCCTGGGTTCAGTACCCCCTCTCCCTCCCTCACTTTTTCACTCACGCCCCCTCTCTCCTTCTCTTCCTCTCTTCCCTTCACCCGCCCTCGTGCTATCTCCTATCTCTCTCACCCAGCCATCCACCTGCCCTCCCTCCCTCCGTTTCGCCTTCCACCCAAAAAGTCCATCCCATCGGAAAGGTTCAAACGATTCTGTGCATATATTTTGCAGCTTTGCTTTTCTCTCTTCCTTCCTAACCTCTCCCTCTCCCTCCGTTCCTATTTTCTCGGTTTCGTTTTTGCTCGCCTCTCCCCTGCCTCCCCTCGCTGTCCTTCAGAGTCTCCCTTCCACTCTCCATCCCTTCAGCTCGCTCTCCCTCTTATCGCGCCTCCCTAGCCTCCCCTCCCCCCTCAAGCAATCCACAGGGCAACAGTCTAGTTTTGAGGCGCCTCAAAACTAGCCTCCCCTCCCCCCTCAACGAATCCACAGGGCAACAGCCGCGAACCTCTTGAACCTCTGCCACAACCTTCTCTTCTTCCTTCTCTCTTCTCTCTTCTCTCGTGTCTTTTTCCTACATCTCCCTCTGATTTGCGCTCTTTCCCCTCTCCCCCCGCCCTCCAGCCATCCACAAGGCAGCAGGCCCAACCCTCCTGAGACTCTGCCTCTAATTTCCCTCTTCTCTCCGTTTCCCTCTAATTTCCCTCTTCTCTCCGTTTCCCTCTAATTTCCCTCTTCTCTCCGTTTCCCTCTAATTTCCCTCTTCTCTCCGTTTCCCTCTAATTTCCCTCTTCTCTCCGTTTCCCTCTAATTTCCCTCTTCTCTCCGTTTCCCTCTAATTTCCCTCTTCTCTCCGTTTCCCTCTAATTTCCCTCTTCTCTCCGTTTCCCTCTAATTTCCCTCTTCTCTCCGTTTCCCTCTAATTTCCCTCTTCTCTCCGTTTCCCTCTAATTTCCCTCTCTTCTCTCCTTGTTATCCCTTCTCCTTCCAGCCATCCACAAGGCAGCAGGCCCCGCCCTCAAGAAGCTCTGGTTTGAGCTGCCAGTGCTGAGGAATGGCATTCGCTGCGAGACGGGAGATGCTGTGACCACAGGGTGAGTGATCACCGTGATCACCTGGGCTGGGATGATGTGATGTGATGTGATGTGATGTGATGTGATGTGATGTGAACACAGTTATGAGTCGACTCAAAACCTGGGTTGGGATGATGTGATGTGATGTGGACACAGGGTCGTATCTTCTGCAGCCAATATTCTGCAATGCAGGGGTTGCTGCTGACCTTGACCACAGGGTGAGAGATTCTTGGATGATGTGATGCGAAGAGTCGAGTTTTGAGTTGACTCAAACTAGATTCTTTTGGATGATGTGATGTGAAGAGTCTTATTCTCTGCAGCAATTTCTCTGCAATTCAAGGGTTGCTGTTGACCACAGGGTGAGTGATCGCCTGGGATGATGTGATGTGGAGAATCTTATTTTCTGCTGCAATGTCTCTGCCATTTCCCACATTTCCATGCCGCATTGCTAATTGTGCCTCATCCTCTGCAGTGCCGCCAACCTGCCAGTGCGCATTGTGATCCATGCGGTGGGGCCAGTGTACCAGACACCACTTGCATCTAGAACACCTTTCTGTTCAGAGGCTCATACTCGCGCCTCCTCTACCCGCCCCATACCCCCCTCCTGCAGTGCCGCCAACCTGCCAGTGCGCTGGGTGGTCCATGCGGTGGGGCCTACGTATCATTCAGAACTTGTGTCAGCGCCCTTCCTGAAGGGCACCTACAGGTGAGTCGAGGGGGATTCTTACACGCGGCTAGGTGAAAGGGTATAATTTCAATCGCGTATCAGCAACCCCTCCCCTTCCCCCCTTCACCTTCCTCCTCCCCTTCCTCCTCCCCTTCCCCCTCCTCTTCCCCCCTTCACCTTCCTCCTCCCCTTTCCCCCTCCCTACCTCCCCCCCCTCCTCCTCGTTCCTCCTTCTGGAAGTAAGAGCTTTCCTTGACCGGACTCCTCTGTCACTCCCCCTTCTCACCCTACCCCTTCTCACTCTCACCCACTCTCACCCTACCCCTTCTCACTCTCACCCACTCTCACCCTCTCTCACCCACTCTCACCCACTCTCACCCACTCTCACCCACTCTCACCCACTCTCGCCCACTCTCACCCACTCTCACCCACTCCACCCACTCCACCCACCCCACCACATGTTTGCTCTGCCTTCTTTTTTTTTACAGGAGCATACTGAGGGAGGCTAACAAGCATTTAATCAAGCACATCGCCACACCCATGTGCACCCACCCTCATTCACCCCTACCACTTAACTGCGTGCTTTCTCTCTGTTCGCTTTCCTCTCCTCCGCACAGGAGCATACTGAGGGAGGCTAACATGCATTCAATCAAGCATGTCGCCATACCTGCAATATCATGCGGCATTTTGGGGTATGACTATTCTTTCCCCTGAGTGTCCGTATGTGCGCATTTCTCTAGCAGATTGGTCATCCAAATTATTCAGTGTATTCAGCTTATTCCTGTTTTATATATATCTAATATATTTTTATATTTAATTTCTTTCTTCATGCGTGTATAGAATAGTGTGTTCTCATCTCCTCTTTATCTCCATCAACTCGCTCCTCATTATGTATGCTCTGTATGCTCCTTCCATTGCTGTGCTCTCCCCAGCTACCCCCCTACAAAGGCCGCCCAGGCAGCAATCGAGGTCTTGTGCAACGAACCATGGGGAACTGTGCAAGAGGTACCTTTTTCTCCTTCTCCTCTTCCTCTTCTGTGCAAGAGGTATGTCTTTCTCCTTCTCCTCTTCCTTTTGAGAATTCTCATAAGTCACTCCTTCTCCTCTTCCTTTTGAGAATTCTCAAAAGTCACTCCTTCTCCTCTTCCTCTTCTGTGCAAGAGGCACCTTCGAATCCCAACCTCTCCGCTACCCCTCCCCCTCCAAAGCTTCATTCCGTCGTTTTAGGTTCAAGTATTTCCAGAAGTGACAAACCATGGGGGTCCGTGCGAGAGGAAACTCCTTTTCCGTCCCCCCTCCTAGCTTCTCCCATCGCCCTCCTCCCTTCTCCTATCTTATCTACTCCCCCCTTGCTCTCTTTGCCTTCTCCCCGGTCATCGTCATGCTTCTCCTCCGCCTCCACAGGAGACTTTTGAGGCGCCTCAAAAGTCTTTCAGCCTCTCAGTGTCTCAGTCTCCCAGCCTTTTGAGGCGCCTCAAAAGCCTTGTCATCGTCGTCGTCATGCTTCTCCTCCTCCTCCTCCTCCACAGGTGCACTTTGTCCTGTTCGACAGGAAGATCCTCGACAACTGGCTTGCTGCAATCCGTTCTGCCAACCTGCTGCTGGTTGCCTATCCCGCTCACGAGCCTGACATGCCCCGCCCTGCCCACAGGTGCACTTTGTCCTGTTCGACAGTAAGACGCTCGACAACTGGCTTGCTGCAATCCTTGCTGCCAACCTGGCGAAGCTGCTGCTGCAACAGCCGCCACCGCTGCAAGGGCCAGCTCAGATGGTCAAACAACCAGTTGTGGTGCTGTCAAAACAACTGCCATACGAGTCAGCACAGCAGCTGCCAAAGCAGGCAGTGATTGAGGCAATGGGGACGAAGGCAGAGGAAGGGACACTACCCAAGACAGCACGGCAGTTGTAGCAGAAGCAAGCAAAGCAGACTCAGTCGCAGCAGCAGCAGCAGCAGCAGCAGACAGAAGCGAAACTGAAGCAGCTGGAACTGAAACAAAAGCAGCCGGAACCTGCTTCTGGTATGCTTGCTCCTAGTGGCATAAGCAGCTATGCTGCCGCTGCTCGCACTGCCACTCCTGCTGCTGATACCAGTGCTGCTGCTGCTGCTGCTACGCCCCATCATGACTTTTGAGTCAGACTCAAAAATCTGCTTCTGGTTTGCTTGCATCTGGTGGCACCAGCAGCTATTCTGACACTGCATGCACTGCCTCTGCCACCCCTGCCGCTGATAATGATGCTGCCGCTGCTGCTTCTGCTGCTGCTACGCCCCGTCCTGCACTCGCCTATGTTCTTTCGCCCCGGCCAAACCCCAACCAAAGATTGCGCCTCTCCGAGGGACTCCCAGTCCCTTGCTCCTCCCCACCAGCCTACCTCTCATCCTGTCCCGTGTGGCTCTTCCAACCCAGAATCCCCCCAGGTCCCTCCCTCTTCTTAACTGAACTCCCCCACCAATCAACTCTGTTCTGTCTCACATAATTGTTCGTCCATACTGCGGCTGCTCTGCTGTACAGATGGGAACCAAAGGAAGTGGGGACTTGGATGTAAGGGGAGAAATGGAAAGGGGATTGGAGGAAGGTAAGGAGGTGGAGGAGGAAGTAGGGGAGAAGACATAGTAGAAATAGCAGGACTGTTGTGTGAGGTATCTGTGTGTGCAAGTGTTGTATGTACATATGTGTGAGTACCGTAGCTTCTTTATCCTGAGGTTTGTGGCACTCATGAACTAATCCTTGTGTCTTGGGGTTTGTGTTACTCGTGAACTAATCCTTCTACTCCATAAACAATCCATGACCCATCCCTTTACATACCATACCAAAAGAGAAGTGTGCACTTATGCGTTAGCTTCGATATTAACCTTCAGTAAGTTCCCCTGCTCTTTACTTCAAGTAGAGTACTGTAACCTGCCAGAATCTACACCCTCAAAACAGGGTACCTAGCATATGCTACCTACCTACACCTCCTATAACCAATCCTTTCACAAATCTAAGGGCAAGTGCTTCTTTGCCTTGATATAATCCTTCAATAACCTCTTCTGCTCATCTATCCTCCTCCTCTCCTCCCTAGTCACTCCCACTTGCTCCTTTCTCTTCACATCCAATATCCACTTCAAAACTTCCAGCTGCCCGTCAAGATCAATTTTCGACACCTGCCCGCCCGTAAAAGCCAACCCAGTCACTCCAGACCCTTCTCCTGCACCATCATCAGCACCATCCCCCGTTACAGTCACACCTGCAGGGCCAACCATCGCCTCCATATCCCACGATTGCATCTCAGACGTCCGTTTGGGGGCCGAGGAGGAAGCTGCATGGGAACCTTCCTCGGAACCGATACCAGGAGCAGTGGCGGTGGCGGTGGCAGGATCTGTAGCGGCTGTACCACCAGCAGCACCAGCAGCAGCAGCAACAGCTGTAGCAGACTCTCCTCCTGCTTTCTCCTCATTTTTGCGTTTTTTCTCGTCATCTAATTCGGCTGTGTCGGGCATTCGTGCTGCGTCTTTCAGCAAGGCCTTGCCTCTAAACAACATGTAGCCTGGTGTAGCGGGTAGTGGACGAAGGGCAGGGAGAGAAAGAGTGAGGGAGAAGGGATGTGGAGGGGACAATTGGGCAGATGAGAGCGTCTAATTCGGCTGTGTCGGGCATTCGTGCTGCATCTTTCAGCAAGGCCTTTCCTCTAAACAGCATGTAGCCTGGTGTAGGAAGGGCCAGGAGATGGATAAGGACGGAGGGAGAGAGAGAGAGGGGAAGGCATGGGGACGTGCCTCCCCCTTGCATCCGGCATGAAAACATACCCCCCCCCAGGCAGGCGGCAGCAAGGAAGTCAGGAAAGGTACAAGGGGAGGAGAAAGGGAATAGGGAGAGGGGAGGAAGGGAAGGGGGAACCAACCAAAACACGTACCTCCCAGCACGAGGTTGAGGGCGAGCAGGAAACTGAACGCCCCCCGCATGCGGTACAGCAGAGGGCGGGGAGGGGGCGGGGAACTGCTGCTATCGATGATCCAGGGGGAACCCCCCCGATGATCCAGGGGGAACTCCCCCGGACCTTGGTACTGCGGACCAGACAACCCAGAAGGAGGGATTTAAGGGTGAAAGGGGGAAGGAGAAGGGGCACGTACCTCCCAGCACGAGGTTGAGGGCGAGCAGGAAACTGAACGCTCCCCGCATGCGGTACAGCAAGAAAGGCCGAGCGGGAGGTGGATAAGGGGGAGAAAGGGGGAAGGGGGTACCCAACCCACCACGTACCTCCCAGCACGAGGTTGAGCGCGAGCAGGAACCCAAACGCCCCGCGCATGGCAGTACAGCAGGGGGGGGCGTGTGGGGGTAGGGGGACGGGGGAAAGGGAACGGGGAAGGAGGGGGAAGGGAAACGCCCAGAACGTACCTCCCAGCACGAGGTTGAGGGCGAGCAGGCAAACCAAATGCCCCTCGCATGCGATACAGCAAGGCAGGGCGGGGGGGGGGGGAGGTGAGTAAGGCGGGGAAGGGGGAAGCGGGAAGGGGGAAGGGGAAGCGGGAAGGGGAACAAGAGAAGGGGATTTGCTACGTACCTCCCAGCACGAGGTTGAGCGCGAGCAGGAAACTGAACGCTCCTCGCATGCGGTACAGCAGGGGGGGGCGGGGAGCTCCCCCAGCTGCTGACCCAAGGGGAGCTCCCGCGGACCTGGGCCCTTGCCCAGATAGGGGCGTTGGCGGAGATGCGGGGGAGGAGAAGAGGGAGAAGATGCCCCAGGGGGAGGAGCGCGCGGGGAGGTCCGGGGGAGCTCTGGCCGCAGCTGTGGCGGAAAGAGAGGAAGGGAGGGGGGAAGGGGGGAAGTGGGGGGAGGGGGGAAGAGGGACAGGGAAGGAGGGGAGGAGGGGAAGGAGGTCGGAGTAGGAATGTAAGGCGATTAGTTTTGAATAAATGACAAAGAAAAAGAAGAAAAAAAGACTGTGAAGGAGGATCCGTGGGGAGAGGTGAAGAGGAGCGAGAAAAGATCCGTGGGGAGAGGTGAAGAGAAGGGAGAAAAGATCCGTGGGGAGAGGTGAAGCGGAGGGAGAAGAGACCCGTGGGTGGAGAAGAGGAGCGGGTGGGGGGCTCTAAGGGAGCTCTGGCTACAGCTGTAGCCCCGACATCCTCACCGGCTTTAACCCCCCTTCGCCTCGTTAGACCCCTCCTCACCTCCCTCCTTAGATCCTTTCTCACCTCCCTAGACCGCTCTTCATCTCGTTCCCTTCCTCACCGCGTTAGACCCCTCCTCACCTCCTGCCGTTTCTCGCGCCTTCTTCGGCCGTCGCGTGAACAGCTTCAGACGGCCAGACGTGCTGCCGCCCTGCGGATCGGCCATCGCACGCCGAATAGCTTGCCGGCTAACTTGCAGACCTACTAATTGACCAAATAACCGACTGACTAACTGGCTTCTCCTAGATCCACTTAGTAAATGACTATCCTTCGTTTCTGATCCAGTTTCTTTCCAGCTGACCTTCACCCCTGGTGATCAATGGTTTAAACGTTCCGAAACGACCAAACGTACAGCTGCGCCTCAGGACTCAAGGATGGTCTTATCGCGGAGAATCGTAACGAGGATCATAAGACTAGGAATCTGTAACAGCGCAGGGCGCATTCATAGGAGCAAACCAGAGGCACTGAGAATTTGCTTGAAGCAGAAGGTTCCGAATCCGCGATGTAGGACAGCTCACATCGAATTAACGAGGGTTCCAGAAGTACACCAGGAAAATATTGCTGCCAAGGCAGATGCAAATATATATTTTATTGTTCTAACTACACTAGCATTACTTGGACAACGTTCAAACACACACTCATCAAGTAGAAGTAGGATAGACTATGCGATCACAACTAGATAACAAATGTATTGATCTGCACACACAGATAATGCAGTACGTAACAAAACACAACGGGCAATAAGCGTTTGCCCCCACACTACACCTCGCATGGAAGATGAACGTCGAGCTCATTCATATCCTCTGACGCATGCAGACGCAAATCATGCTCATTTGCCAAATGCAGCACACAGATGAAGCACAGATGCACTGAAATGTCGCTCAGCGCAGCTGCTCTGCAGTTGGCCGGGAAATTATGCAGCACTCGATCAAAGCTGATCGGGCCTGAGGAAAATTCCCCTTCGTCCTGCTGCTCCTCCTTCTCATAGCCATGGTGACGTTGTAGCTCCACCCAGATCGTGTCTTTCAGAATCTTCACATCCACCTGCTTTGACTGTCTCGCATAGTTGACATCAATCTTTTGTGCCTGCCAAGTAATTCGCGCAAACAGGAACCGAGATGAGAAGGTGGAGGTGCAAGCAGAAGGATAACAAAAGATGGATAAAGTGGACGGAAGGAGTGGAGAACAGGCAGGCAAGGCAAGACCCAGTCACATACTGCACCCCAAGATGCCAATCAGCACTACCAGAGAATTTTAAAAATAATAGGTGCCATACGGCCACCAGAGAGAAGCAGGACAGTGCTGAAGATATTCTCACCTTCTTTGGCATTGGAACCAGATCCTCCATGAAATCATCTGCTGGTTTGACCTCTGCAGAATCCCCTTGCCCATCAAAATCATCCCCATAGTCAAACGGATCAGCACACTCATCCCCTCCCCAGTCATTCCCAAACCCATCGTCACCACCGTCAACTGCTGCAAACCCATCTCCACCTCCTCCATCCTCAAACCCCTGCTTCGCGCCACCACGCCCCCTGGCCTTCCGAGCCAAGAAGCTCCAATCCGAGCTTATAAAAACCGTAGCCAACTTGCGTCCATCATAATGGTAGTCCTTCGGAAGCAAGGTATTGACCACCTTGCGACCAGCCTTCGTCAGCTGAATTTCCTTCAGCGCTTTAGGGGCCTGAAACAAGGACTCGTCGATTTGAGGGTCCGAGAAGTCAATAAGCTCCGACTTTGCTGTCCTTTTCTTCCTCCCCTTCGCCTCTGGAGCTGCTGCAGGTACCTCCTCCTTGGACTTAACAAAGTGCCAGTGCTTAGGGCCAGCCCACGCGTTGCTCCCCTTGAGCCTCGTCATGCCCATGCCAGCTGCCAGCCAATCCGCAGCGTCCATTCCATCATCAACATCCGAATATCCGTTCTCCCCATCAGAATCCCCAGCTGGGATCATCCCAGGAGTACCATCACCAGCAAACGGCGGGCCAGCGAACCCACACCTATCATCATTCCACCCGTCATCCCCACCACCAAAATCGACCACAGATCCATCGTCATTATCATCACCAAACGGAAACCCTCCCCCCACCCCACCCACTGGTTCATCTCCCACATCAAACGCTTTAAATCCCTCTGCGCTCCTAACGGCATTCCCATCCATGTCATGAGAGGAGTCCTTGGCACAGGCACCAACAGCTGCCTTCCAGCGGTTATCTTCAGCCAGCTCGTAGAGAGCAGAGATGGACGGAGTGATCTCCCAGCTCTCAGGGTCATCCGCGCTCAATAGGAGCTCCACTTCGCCTGCCACGAAGCAGCACAAACATGTCCGATGCATAATGGATTGTCTACCCATGATATTCGGCGATCAATGCAGCACAAATATGTCCGATGAATGCCTGATTGATTGCTCATGTGTGGAACGGAATGTTAGACGAGCATGTCAACGCAAATCCGTCGTCAACGGCTTTTCACTTCACAGCTCGATGATTATGAATTGAAACCAATGGTGAAACACGAAACCCAAGCAGCACCAGGTGGTCGTTGCGATTTTTTTTTTTTGTAACAAAAAAGGCTGAGGAAAGAGAAGCATTTACGGTAGGAAACACCAAGCTTTCTACTTACGAGATGCAAAGGAGATATCCACGTATTCCTTCCCCTGCTCCTCCGGCTGCGTGCGTGAAGGGTCGACGATGATGGCCTCCGAATCGAACATGATCTCGCACCCGTTGAACACGGGGAGATTGTACAGGAGCAAGCCGCTTGCACCGCCCTCATCGAATTGACCAGAAGTTTTCGTGAAAAGGGGGTCCGTGACAATGGCACCTGAAGATCCAGGTACAAATCACTACGAGGTCAGTATAGAATGATATATGACGTAATTTAGATAGAATTACGTTTCTTTGGCTCACGTTCAAGCTTCTTGACGTTGATTTGGTCAAGGTTATCCTCCAGTGTGCTGGATGTTGCAGGCAGCTGCATGCACAATGAAACACAAACGAAGCCATGCGGAAGTAAGGCCACCTCGACTTTCGCACACAAGTAATTTCAAACATAAAACGGATGTCCCGGTACCTTCTTCTGAGACTCTCGCCGGCTGCCGTTGCCTTCTTCCTGGTCAGCCCCTTCTTCATCTTCTCCTGCAAAAACGCAGGACCAAGGAGTCAGTGACAGCAGCACCAACCTACCGAGATGGAACGAAAAACGACGGCTGCATCTTTTCTTGTTTGAACATTTGAATGGTCTGTACTCTTACGTGTATCGCCTGCCCGCGTCAGGCCGCTGAGCACTTTGTACGTCTCGGAATGGATGGAGTCGACTCGATACGAATATATCTTCACGCCAGCCTCCAGCGTGCAGCTAGCCTGTCCGAAGGATAAGAGCAGGAGCTTGATTAGTATACTACCAAGGGATCTGTTGAGGCGCCTCAAGAGAATAAACCTTCACATCAGCTTCAGGATGCAACTAGCATGTCGTAGGAAGGAAGTCGAATTGGTACGACGGATGGTGCTAGTAAAAGGATGAAACAAAGACCATTTGGCAAATTAAAGCGTAATCGAACCTTCTGGAAGTTAGTCTGCGTGTCGTTTTCGCAGTCCGCCTTGACGATTTCCGACATGTGGTCAATGAGATCAAGATCCCATGTGTTCTTCTGATTGATTTTCTGCACAGATCGAAGTCGGTGGGATGTCAGCTTCGTTCAGACAATTTACCCACTACTCGTCCTCCAAATTAAGCAACCGTGGCCAGCGTGACCTCATTTTCGGAAACCTTACATTCTCAGCAGCCAGCTTAGTGCAGTTCTGGTACAACGTAAGCAGCCGATCTCCAGACATCTCTTGAGGGTCGCAGCTAGAGCGCTTCTTATTCGCTTCTTTCATTCGGTCTGCGAACAGCCTACGCTGAGCTGCCTGACGCTCCTCCCTAATCTTCCGCTTCTCCAGCTCGTCATCGTTGGCGCCAAACGGAATGAATGCAGGTGATTTGGGATAGAGACTGGGGGACTTGAACATAATCGGGGCACCCTCACGCTGTACAGGAGATCGGCCATCCATTTTTGCAACTGCTCTCTAATTCTTCTATAAATAAACGTTGGAAGGAGAAGAGTCTCGGCAATCTCTGAACGTGATGCCTACTGACAAACCAAACAAACTAAAATCTAGGGCGTAGTAGACGGAGGAAGCTCCAAGGCCGTGGAGAATGATCGTCCGGTAGAAGAATCAGCCAGTTGTCGAAGGGCAGCGCGTAGGCAGTTAGAGGAAACCTTGGGAAATCCGTCCAACGATCAAGCCCAGAGAAGAAAAATGCACCAGATTCCAGTGTCCCCGGAATCTGGAGGGGGAAAAGGTTTGTTCACCACACCTTAACAAAATGCACCAAACAGGACCGTGCTGTAAAGCGCTGCAAGCTGAGATGTGTAGGGGAATGGTGGAGCTGGAGACTCCATGGAGGTTGGTTTGGTTCTGGGCTGGGGGGAAGATGGCCTGGATGGAGCCTGAAGGAAAGCTGGGCTTGATTGTGCCGAGACGCGCGACCTGGCATGTTGTCAGCGAGGCTCGGCGGGAAACACACAGCTTGCCGCGTCAATTCAAAGTTGCAGCTTGCGTAAATTCGTTACTGTAAAGAGGCGAAATTCATGTAGTTCTGTCTACACTGTTGGGCTCGTAAAATATACACACGGCCACAAAGTCAAGTCTCTCCCGCAATCTTGAGTTTCGAAACCCTGGCTCAACAGCAATTCCACTTGGCGGGACAATAGAGGTCAGTTTTCCAGAGTGTGTAAACCTCTTCTGGCTTCGCAGCAGACCACGCCACTCACCTCAGCTACTACTCGTCAAACAGACTCCCCCCAGCCCCATCCACAACACCACGTCAGCAAATCCAGCCTGGGTCAGCCCTTCAGTACCGCCACGTGTTTGACTTCTCTGACGACACATCAGAGCCACATCCCCTACTCCTTGGGATCGTCTTGTGTTCCAGGAAATCCATTGTTCAGGCTGTGGAACTTCGAAGTCCAGCTTGGGGGATTTTCAGTGTTTGTTAGCGTTTCTCCATCCCCCTCCAGGCCCGAAGTTGCTGCGGCAGGTTGCTGCTTCTGGAACCTACAAACTGCCATACCCTTCCATTGTGGTTCCTCTTTTTTCCCATTCCTATCTTAGGCCGTTGACGGCTTCTGAGCTTCGATTACCGAAAGCTTGCTCGCCGCATTTCCTCAGCAGCTTCTCGTTGCTCGATTAGCCATTTGTCGACGGTCTAGTTTCTGCCTGAGCTCGTATAGAATCACCAAAATGGCGTCAGTCACGAAATTGACGACGTCAGTGCTTTCGAGCACTGTCCTCCCGGCACTGCCTAAGACCACTTGCAATGTAAGGGGTCTTGCTGTTCCTCGTGCCAGTATCTTATTACCAGTTCTTCCTGAAAAAAAAAAAAAAAAAAAAAAAAAAAAACGATTTGTTACGATCACTTATGTTAAGCTCCTAGGTTTCTTCTCAATTCCTTGACGTACAGTGTCCCACAGTTGGTTTTACGCCCAAGTAGCTGCTATTTTGTTGTACTCAGACTTCTTATGAACGAAAACCCCTTTTCCAGGCTCGCGCTGCACTTCCAGCGGCTGGATTTCCGCAGGGTCAGCTCCGCCTTCACCAAAACCGCCTTAGGTATGTCGCTGACGTGATTCTGCGCCCGTTGTAAATAGTGCGGCATGTGCACCTGGATGTGTCTATGTCGTCATTTGGCGGCGTTTTTTTCTTAATTTCGTGCCCCGTTCGAACTACACGTTGAAGGCACTAATTCCACAATTCGTGAATTCAGTGCAGTTTATTCAACATTCACCGCACTTCCTTGATTCCTCCGGTCTAGATGATTCTTCCTACCATCCCGCATGTCTTGTTTTCAGAAGAGCTTATAACCTTTTTCTTCTCCACCGCCCTTTCCCGCTTTCCGCAGAGCCAGCTTCCAGAAGAGCCTTCATCTTCCCGTCTCCAGCAGGGCGTTTCCCTGTGTGAGGGCCGTGAGCGTGGAGGGAGAGACGGCAGTGGAGGAGGCAGTGGAGGCTGTTCCCGAGAGCACCGATGCCGCCGCCGAGCAAACGCCTGCTCCGTCTGCTGCTGCTGAGGAGAAGACGGAGGAGAGGAAGGCGCGGCCTGGGGCTACCAGGAGGAGAAAGGTTACCGTGAACGTCGAGGACCTCCAGCCTGGCCAAGAGCTCACTGGCAAAGTTGTGAGTGTTCCTCCGTTCCTCAACTCATTGATTGGGGGTTCCCTGTATCTCGACTCATCCTTAGTGTATGATTTTTTCCAATTAACTATGTTAAAAGGCTTAGTCAAATACATTTTCCTTTTCCGGTGTTTGGGCCCGATCAGCAGATGGCTGTCCCTGTGTGGTACTTTTCGAAATTTTACTGAGTGTTTGATATTGCGCGGTGCTAGGGTTTATCCTTGCGAATCCGACCGTGCTTCTTTTCCGTGCTCGTTCTGTTCTCCGTGCTGTTTGCAGCGCTCGGTGAAGCCGTACGGAGCCTTCGTCGACATTGGCGCGTTTACCGACGGCCTCGTCCACATCTCCCAGCTCGCGGTACGAATCTTTACGCTACTTTCAAGATGCGGTACGGAATCGCGGGCTCGTAACAACCAGAGTAATACTCATTTTTGTTGGTTTTCACCGGCGGCCTCGTTCACATATCCCAACTCACGGTACAGAATCAGTGGACTTCCACTTAATAAATGGCCATGACTACGATATCACATGGAGCTAGTTCGCGAACGTAGCTTATTTTTCTGTCTCCGCAAATGACCTCGTGCACATGTCCTGCTGGAATAAGGAGGTGCACATGCGCCATCTTTAGCTCATCAGTAGCGTAGGTTGCGAGGCGCCTAGAAACCGAGACGAATGGATGTAAGAATGGGGGTCGAGACTTGTCGCAAAAAGTTCTGTTAATTGTGACGGTAGAATCAGTTTACTTTTTCCCGTCCTGCCTTTTTGCCTGAGAACAACCCCAATGCCCCCTCTTTCGCACGCTTCTTTCGCCGCAGACGGGTTTCGTGAACAAGGTTGAGGATGTGGTAACCGTCGGGCAGGAGGTTGTAGTGCGAGTGATCGAGGCCAGCAAGGAGTCCGGCCGCATCGCGCTCACCATGCGCGACCCGGAAGCGGAGCGCGTGGCGGCGGAGGAGACGGCGGCCGTTGATGCGGAGCGGAAGGCGTCGGCGCAGCAGCGGCGCCAGTCCGCGGGGGGCGCGGAGGGGGACGCGTCCGAGCGCAAGGTGGCGGGCAGGGGCCGCAGGCAGCAGCGGGAGGATCAGAAGCCGACGCATAACTACAAGAAGGGGCAGAAGGTGAAGGGCGTGGTGAAGAACCTGACGTCATACGGATGCTTCGTGGAGCTCGAGGGGAAGGTGGAGGGGCTCCTCCACGCCTCCGAGATCGCCCCTGGTGGTAAGCAAAGTTTTCTCACTTGTTTGTATGTCTGGGAGTGGCTGATATGTCGAAAGGTGAAAGGGTTTTGATACAAGGGGCAGAAGGTGAAGGGCGTGGTGAAGAACTTGACGTCGTACGGGTGCTTCGTGGAGCTCGAAGGGGAAGGTTGAAGGGCTCCTTCCACGCCTCCGAGATCACCGCTGGAGGTAAGCCCACTCAAAGGTTTAGTATCTGGAACATGGTTGAGGGTTGTGAGTAAAGGGGTGGAAGGTGAAGGGTGTGGTGAAGAACCTTACCTCGTACGGATGCTTCGTGGAGCTCGAAGGCAAAGTGAAGGGGCTCCTCCACGCGTCGGAAATCGCCCCTGGAGGTGAACTAGCTGTTGTAGATCGTGACCTTAATGGGCTAACTTGGAATAACTGAATGTCAATAAATGAGTCGCTGGAATAACGGACGTCGTTGCCCCTCCTCTTTCCACTCACACTCCAGGCGACATGGTGCCTGTGGAGTCGCTGGTATCGCTGGTCGGCCAGGAGCTTGAGGTCGCATTCGCGAATGATTGGAACGATTGAAACTAAAACTTTCCAAACTAAACCCGTTGCCCCCTCCTTCCTTCTCCCCCTTTCCCCGCACCAGGCGACATGGTGCCTGTGGAGTCGCTGGTGTCGGTGGGCCAGGAGCTCGAGGTCACTATTGCAAAGGTTGAGGTGAGTCCTTTTCAGGCTGACGCGGGACAGTGGAACGAGGTGGGGAAAGATGGGGAGGAAGGGAGGGAGGGATGTGCTATTAGTGGTTTAACGAAGTTATATGGCAGTTCATTTTCGTTACAACCTTTTTTTTCCGCTCTTGTCTCAGTTCTTTAGGAATGTGAAGTTGTGATACATTACAACGGAGCCTGTTATTTCTTACAGACAACATGTTCAAAGCGCTTTTACATACAAATGAATCCTCCTTGGTCATTTTCGTTTCTCCGTGGCATTTCCGTGAGCAGAAGAACCGCATCAGCCTGACAATGAAGGAAGAGGTCGATGTGAGTATCCTTACCGTTCTCGTCCTTCACCATACCCACCTCGTGCACCATGTCCCCCTGTAGTGTGCTGTGATCGTTTTCTTGTATAATGTTCAGCCACCATGCCTTCACCATGTCCCCTGGTGATCCCCGCACTTAACAGTCTTGGCGCCCCATTTGACCCTCGTTCTCGTCGCATTGGGCCCCTAACCCTCGCGCTTTCGCTCTCCGTTCCCTTCCCCTCACATCATCAGGTGACGCTTTTCAACGAGACGAGCTCCCAGGACGAGGAGCTCTGCGCGCTCTCCCCTTTCAAGGCCCACCCTTGACCTTTTGTTGCTCCCCTTTCCTCTTTCCTCCGCCCCCTCGCATCATCAGGTGACGCTGTTCAACGAGACGAGCCTGCAGGACGAGGAGATCCGCGCGCTCAACCCCTTCAAAGCCGCCTTCCGCCCTCGCTTTGACACCCTATCCGCCCGTCTTTCTCCATTCCCCCCCCCATCAGGTGACTCTCTTCAACGAGACGAGCCCCCAGGACGAAGAGATTCGTGCACTCAACCCCTTCGAGGCGGCCTTCCGCCGCGCCA